AACCAGAAACCGGTACAGGAACTGTCTCAGTACCAACCTCTCTAGAGCGAGCACCTGCAGGGCCCCCTCCACAAGCACCGGCTCCCGCAGGGTCTGCAGCAGGCTGCGAGGAGGACTGTGGGGAGGGAGGCCGGACCGGAGGGGCTACCGAAGGGGGAGGGGTAGCCTGGGACACACCTGACGGGGCTGGACCAGGGGGGGGAGGCTGTACCGGGGGAGCAGGAGGGGGAGCGGCAGTCAGGAAGAGGGGGGGAGGAGGAACCGGGAGACCTCGACTGGGGTACCTGACGTAGTAGGGGGTGGACTCCTCGAAACGGACGTCACGGGAGTCAAAGAACCGGTGAGAGGGAGGGTGGTAAAAGGTGAAGTCAGAGGAGTCCTCAGGGAAACCAAGGAAGACACAGGGGACGGCGCGAGGCGAGAGCTTGTCCGCGGAGGTGTCGCGGACAAGAGCCAAGCACCCCCAGACACGAAACCTCGACGCAACACCAGGGGACCCTGTCCAAAGACTGGTCGGTGAAGCCTCTGGCCGAGAGACACGTGGCCAGAGGTTCAGCTGGTGCGCGGCGTACCTGACCGCGTAGGGCCACAGAAAATGGGGGGCACGGGCGTGAGTCAGGGAGGTGCGGGCGATCTCCATGACCAGGCCTATGCGGCGCTCAGCAACCCCATTCTGTTGTGGGGACTCCGGAAGCGTCCAGGACTGACGAATGCCCTGCTCGCGACAGAATCCAGCGAGAATGCCGGAGCGAAACTCACCCCCACGGTCGGAGTGGAGACAGCTGACACGACGACCACGAGTGTCCGCAGTGGTAAGCAACCACCTGATCAGCGTAGAAGTCACCTCAGACTTCTTCGCCAGGGGGAACACTGTGGTGTAGCGGGAGTAGTCGTCAACGACCACCAGAAAGAAACGCTCACGCTCAGGGCCTAGACGAGGGGCGGGGCCCCAGACGTCCAAGTGAAGCGTCTCAAAAGGCTCGGTGGCCGGACGAAGGGAGGAGGAGTGAGGGGTGGCGCGCAGCCGACCCTCGACGCAGGGACCGCACGGTGGCGAAAGCGAAGGCGGCAGCGACGGCAAGACACGTGGGAGGGCTAGGACAAGACGCTGACTAGACATAGCGCGCAGACGAGGAAGGGACGGGTGCCCCATCCGGTGGTGCCACAGAACGGTGGGGTGGGCAAGCGACCGGCAGGAGCACGACGCAGCGACTTGAGCAGACGTAGGAACCTGACAAGACACAGACACCTGGGGGGACGAAGCAACCTGGTGAGACGCGGGGACTCGAACGGGGGGGGGAACCGGGGGCAGTGGCAGTAGGGGCGGCTGCTGGTGCGGCCGCTGGTGCTGCTGCTGCTGCTGCTGCTGCTGCGGCTGCGGCTGCTGCTGCGGCTGCTGCTGCTGCTGCGGCGCACGCGGGCCAGTGTGAAGAGTGTAGAGACCTGAGCCCGGCTCAGCATTAAAGGTAGCAAGAGGCTGCAGACATGCCCCACAGAGCGGAGCCGTAGCGCTGAACCAGAGGAAGCCAGTCAAGGGCAGGACCGCCAACCCCGTAGGCCAACCGGACCGTGTCAGTGAGCTGAGCAAAGCACTGACCAGGGGGGTGAAAGCGGCCACAAGGGTGGCCCCGACGAGGACCTGTCAGAACCTGATAGGTGCAGGGAGGGTAAGCAGCACCGCGCTGGGGCTGACGCAGCCCCGACCCCGGAGCCAGCTGCTGCCGCTGCTGCTGCTGAGGCTGCTGGGAGGATAGGGGTTGCTGCTGCTGCTGAAGCTGCTGCTGACGCTGAGCCTGGTACCACGCCGCTGCTCCACCTAGCGGGGCCGGCAGTACAGGAGGCGACTGACGAGCTCGGGTGTCGCCACCACCAGCAGGCGCAGTGGAGTCACCAGCCGCTGCACGAGAGGTCTCTCCAGACGCTGCACTCCCACCACCGCCAGTCGCAACAGCACCCCCACTACCTCCGCTACCTCCGCCTCCACCTCCACCAGAACCACCTTTCTTGCCCCCCCTACCACGGGACCGCGACGCAGTCGTAACAGCAGCTGCAGTCGCGTCAGTAGCGGCAGTGGCGAGAGAGGCAGTGAAGGTGGGTAACTGCGGGACTGTGCACCCGTGGAAGAGTGGGGGGGGCACAGCACCAGAGGCGGCAGCTACCGAGCGAAGGTTGCTCTCGACGTCCTTGAGCGCAGACTCAAGGACCTCGACTGTCAGCTCACTAGGGTGCTTCAGCAGGAGCGCGTCACGAACGGAGGCGAGATCAAGAAACAGGAACAGGAGGAAAAGACGGCCAAGAGAGACAGTAGCGGGAGTAGAGTAGCGGGCCTTAATCGCAGTGAGGTACGCAGCAGCGGTGCGAACCTGAGTGAAGTGGACCTCCTCTGACTCAGGGAGGAGGCTGCTGAGTGCGATGCAGGCCGCAGCGTCACGCGACGTCCAAGCCGTCCGGTCAGCGCGCTGACGGGCAAAGCGAGCCGTAGCAGCATCGTCAGGGGCAGAGCCTAAAGCGGTAGGCTCGGGGGGCTCGGGGAGGTCACCAGTAGCGTGCGACCAGAGGGTCTCGCCCCCCTGGACCTGACTCTCTAACAGACGGCGAGCGCGAAGAAGCCAGACGGAAAAGTCAAGAGGTCTACCGTCAGCGTCGAAACGAAGAACTCGCGGAGTCGCCATAGCGAGAACTAACGCGAACGAGCAGGCGAGTAACAGCAGGAGGTAAGAGGCAAATTAGGGTTCAGGTGGGGGGGGGGGACTCAGTCGCAGCGGAAGAGCGGGCTAGGGCGACAGGACGGGGGGAACGGGCGCGACGCGACGGAGGGAAAGGGCGCGACGCGACGGGGGGAAAGGGCGCGACGCGACGGGGGGAAAGGGCGCGACGCGACGGGGGGAAAGGGCGCGACGCGACGGGGGGGAAAAGGGTGCGATGCGACGGGGGGAAAGAGCGCTAGGCGACGGGGGGAATGGGCACTAGGCTCGGCACTAGGCGCGGTAACAACGGAACCGGTACGAACGAGAGGTAGGATCAGGCTCGGGAGGTATGAACGGAGAACGGAGGAACGGGATCCCACAGGATCCTAACCTATCTGATACCATGTCAGAATGAGGAATGAATGATGCATTGATGTTGGTTGGGGTACATATGGCAAACCCTAACTTCTGTACCCCCTAAGACAAACCTCACTACAGGCTACAACATTTGACAGTCGCAATCAATTTGTGTAGGTAAAAGAGCGTCAGAGCACGAGCTCGGTGTACAAGAGAGTCCCGGATGGTTTTGCTCATCAAGCATACATATTTACAAGCCAAGTGTCCTCATTGCTCTTTGGCTTTACGAGGTGGATGGCTCTCATAATGCTGGAAGTTGCAATTACCTGGTACCTCTCACTACCGTACTCGTTGATGACTACAAAACCACCCACCAAATCATAGAGTTAAGAATTTCAAGCCGCTCATAGTATCGAATATAGGCGTAATCCTGTGTTGTTCCTGCGACCCGTGCATGAAACAACAACAGCATCTTTGCAAACCACAAACAACTCTCCTGCGTGGAGTAAACACACTCTGTTCCGTTGTACAAGCTAGTTACCTACATGGCCATTCGCTACTCCAGCAAAGGATGTATCAACACCTATCCAAACTTGAAGCTGTCGAATGAGTAGAACAAGGTGAAGACGTAAGGGGAGTACCATGTTCAACAGCAAGCTGTTCAATACGAGGCATCTTGTCATGATGCACACGAGGTGCGCTGATTGAAGCGGATAGGGAATTTAGATACAAAGGAGTGATTTCACGCCGTGCACGCTTGGATGAGCCGGGCTCAGTTGACGTTCCTGTCCGGCTTGGCTGTGACTTCTCGCCTCTGCATTTGGTCCTGCTTAGGTGCCCCTTAAGCGCTTGTAGCGAGTCGAAGCCAGCGTCGTCGCTTCGAGGACAGCTGCTACTCATCCTGAACTGCAACGCACAAGTACAGGACAAAGGGAGTGTGGGGAACATAGGAGAAGGAAAGGGAAGGTCATAGTGAGTGGGGAGATGAGGAGACGGAAGTAGGATTGAGGGAAGCGCAGAGACCATGAAGAGCTGGCTGGAGGGAGGAAGGGAAGTGAGGGAGAGAGGAGAGGGCAGGAGAAGGGAGAGAGGAGAGGGCAGGAGAAGGGAGAGAGGAGAGGGCAGGAGAAGGGAGAGAGGAGAGGGCAGGAGAAGGGAGAGAGGAGAGGGCAGGAGAAGGGAGAGAGGAGAGGGCAGGAGAAGGGAGAGAGGAGAGGGCAGGAGAAGGGAGAGAGGAGAGGGCAGGAGAAGGGAGAGAGGAGAGGGCAGGAGAAGGGAGAGAGGAGAGGGCAGGATAAGGGAGCGAAGGTCAGAGGGGATTGGGAGAAGGCTGGGGAGGAGGGAGATGGTTAGAGGGTGTGAGGAGAGGGCTGGAGGCTGAGATTAGGTGAGATAGGGATAGATTAGTAAGCAGTTGGACAGAGGAAAGGTACAGAGTGACGGAGAAAGAGTGGGAGAGGACAGAGATACATGGCGGATTGAGTGTGAGGCAATGGACAGGGGGGAGGGTGAGGTAGAGGAAAAGGACAGGAAGACGGAGAGAACAGACTTGAAGGAGCGAGAGAAAGAGGATGCGGACACTGAGGGAGAGAGGGAGCGGACGGTGAGCGAGCTTGAGAACGGACGGCGAGAGGGAGAGGGAGAATGGACGGGTAGAGAGAGAACCCAAAGAAGCACTGAGGATGAAGAGCAACTCAGAAAGAGTGGGGAATGATGATACGCAACAGTGAGGAGAGGGCAGCATGAGAGAGGAGGGTGAATGGGCGTGGAGTGAGGGCCAGAGGAGGGAGAGAAGGTGTGAACGTGTGGGGAGAGGGAAGGAGGCGGTAATGAAGGTCAGAATGAGAGAAGAGAGCCCTGGATGAGCAAAAGCAAGGTCAGAGGACACACTAACCTCGTAGTGATCGCTGTTAGAGGATGACGGCGCCACCTTGACCGTCGTCGACAAGGCACCACCTAGATCAGAAACCTTCCGTAGTCTAGGGAACAGAGAAAGAGAGGGAACGGAGAGAGAGAGAGGGAACGGAGAGAGAGAGAGGGAACGGAGAGAGAGAGAGAGAGAACGGAGAGAGAGAGAGGGAACGGAGAGAGAGAGAGAGGGAACGGAGAGAGAGAGAGAGAGGGAACGAAGAGAGAGAGAGGGAACGGAGAGAGAGAGAGGGAACGGAGAGAGAGGGAGAGGGAACGGAGAGAGAGAGAGAGAACGGAGAGAGAGAGGGAGAGGGAATGGAGAGAGAGAGAGAGAGAGAGAGAGAGAGGGAGAGAGAGAGAGAGAGAGAGAGAGGAAGAAGAGCCCGGGATGGTAGTCATCGCCCTCCCTCCCGCCTTCCCCCTCGCTCCCCCCTCTCCCTCCCTCCCCTCTCTCTCACCCCTCTCGCGCCCGCCCTCTCAGCCCCCTGCCTGCTGACTCACCCTTGCTGCGTGTTGAGTCACCCTCCAACGCCTCCCGTCATACGCCCTCCATAGATGCTGCTGCTTCTGCTGCGGCTACTGCGCCGTGTGCAAGCCCCCCTGCCCCTCCTGCTGCTTCTGCTGCTGCTGGGAGGAAGGAAGGAGGGAGGGAGGGAGCGAGTGAGGGAGGGAGGGAGGGAGCGAGGGAGGGAGGGAGAGAGGGAGAGACGGAGAGTGGGAGAGAGGGAGCGAGGGAGGAAGGGAGGGAGGGAGAGAGGAAGAGACGGAGAGAGGGAGGGAGGGAGGGAGCGAGGGAGGAAGAGAGAGAGGGAGGGAGGGAGAGAGGTAGAGAGGGAGGGAGGGAGGGAGGGAGGGAGGGAGGGAGAAAGGGAGAGAGGGAGAGAGGGAGAGAGGGAGAGAGGGAGAGAGGGAGGGAGGGAGGGAGGGAGGGAGGGAGGGAGAGAGGGAGGGAGGGAGAGAGGGAGGGAGGGAGGGGAGGGAGGGAGGGAGGGAGGGAGGGAGGGAGAGGGAGAGGGAGAGAGGGAGGGAGGGAGGCAGAGGGAGGGAGGGAGAGAGGAGAGAGGGGGGGAGGAGGAGGGAGCGAGGGAGGGAGGGAGGGAGGGAGGAGGGAGGGAGAGGGAGGGAGAGGAGGGAGGGAGGGAGGGAGAGAGGGAAGGAGGGAGAGAGGGAGAGACGGAGGAGAGAGGAGAGGGAGGGAGGGAGCTTGCATGAGCAACATATTGGGCCAAGGCGAAACGGTTGGGGAGAGAGAGAGAAAGAGACGGAAACAAACACATACCTTGGAAGACGTGTTTCCGTCACGCCCTATGGTGGTTTCCCGTCGCCGCTTCTGATCTGGTCGGTCGCCGCCACTGCCGGTGTCATTCGTGTGGAGGCAAGCAGGGGATCTGATGGCGTAGGTCACCGCGGATTGGTTGTCGCCGATGCCACCGCTGTAGCAAATGTCGCCACCAATCCCGCGTTAGAGCGCGTCGCCGGTCATCCCAAAAAGGGGGAGCGTTTGGTACAGTGTAAGCATACGATATACACTGTACAAGCAGAGTCGCGAATGTACACAACCATACTGTGTAGAAATAGGTTTTGCAACTGTGCAGCAACTTCGTACGGGGGGGTACAGTACACACAATGTTGGGACCGCGTAGGTACACCATATCCGTTCTACGTAGCTACTGGCCTCGTACACAGTAGCAACTTCACATATACCTATGCAGTTTGAGCGAAGTAGCTACATTGTTCTTGCAACACTAGCAATGCAATGTAGACTCATGGTCTGGACATAGTACATACAAGCATTGAAACGCCCTAAAACACCTCCCGTTTCAGGCGCCCATAGTTATGCACATGTTCTCAGTTGAATCAGAAAATTTAGATGAAGATTTTTTTTGAAAGTAATATTTTTTTCAAAACACATACAGACATAAAAGCACACAAAACTGAGGCTAATGAGATATCATAACCCTTGCCGATGTGCGCTCTTTTGCACGATGCGGTTTTGCAACGTCCTGCGCCATGGTGAGGAGAGACAGTGGGGAGGAGGAATAGGCAAGGGGCAGAAAATTGCGGAGGGCATGCTGGAAAATAGGCGAGTGATATGCAGGGTGGTTCGAAGCATGATGCAAATGGATGAAGCGGGGATTAAAGTGCTGCGAACGGGGGGCTGCCATTGGACTTGGGAGTTCGGAAAGCACATAATCACGCCAGTCTTAAAAATAACAAATACATGCCGCAGCATCTCCATCGCCACGTCAACGCTCCAGCGTCCTTGCTTACGTGGCCTCTGAGGCCAACACTGCTGATATCTTCACTAAGGCACTCGCGCCTTGTGATCATCAGCGCTTCTGCACTCTGTTAGGTCTTGTGCCTACCTTGCCTCACTTGCTTACTTCTTGACCTTGCTTGTACTATTACATATATATACCTGCCCTTGCCTGTTTAGCGTTATATATATGTGACCTTGCATGTGAACTGGCCTTGTGGCCTTGAACTTGTGCTCAGACTGTGTGGTGACGTTGTGATCCACCCTGAGCTTGCTTTGCCTTGCTTTGCTTGACTGGTCTTGTGACCCCTTGTTCTCCCCCACTTTGCCTATGGGGGTGTGTCAAACTTATACACTATAGTCTGTGTAGGCTGTAGTGGGGTAGCTTATATGGGGTACAACATTCTAGGGTTTGGTACTTGTACTCCTCATGCTGCTCAATGCATTCATTCTCGTTCTAAGTTTTCACACGGACGAGCCGCGCGCGGGCTGCGTGGACCGCACGCGGGCCTGGCGCAGGCCGTACGGGCCGCGCGCGGGCTGTACGGGCCGCGCGCGGGCCTGGCGCAGCCCGTACGGGCCGCGCGCGGGCCTGGCGCAGGTCGCGCGGGCCGTGTTGGGCGACGGGGGGCGACGCGCGGGTCGCGGGGCGACGCGACGGGCTCCGGCGGGGGGCGACGCGACCGTTGACGGGGGAGAAAAACCGCCGCGCGCCCCGAGCGCGCGGCGGGAAGAAAAATCGCCGCGCGCCCGGAGCGCGCAGCAGGCAGGAAACAGCAGCGGAAGCTTCTGGTGGGACCACCCACAGGATCGACCCAAAAGGGTCGACCTGCTCTGATACCATGTTAAACAGTCTAGGCAAAAACGAGAGATAGGCAAAGAGGGATTTCACTAGCAAGCAGTTGAGTACATATAGGAAACCCTAATTCGGGTTGTACTCGCTATAGAGTACCCCACTGCAGGCTAGACAAACATCACATTCTGACAAGTGTATGCGCCCATATCATATTAATGCGATTAAATATGACGTGTTAAATATAATTCATATACGTGATGATGCAGATGTTTTAGCTACCCCAAATTAAAGTAGCACATTATGGAATAGAGCTACATAATTATAGTTAAAGATGTGCAACAAGGTAAAATATAATACGAGATCTTTTGTACATACATTTGAAAGTCGACATTTGTATAACGCGAGAGGCACGACACATGGCCTTCTAAGCCACCACTGTTTCACACTGTTCAGTTTAGCTTCATGCCGTCCGATCAAACTCTCCCATCTCCGTTCATTTTCTGGCGGTAAATCGCTTCCCGCTTCACGCTTCCCTCGACAGAAATCGCAACGCTGTGTGAACGAGCAAGAAGCCCTGATTTATGGGCAAGTGAACAGTAATTTAACGATAAACTTCAAGCACTGCAGACGGGGTGAATCCGAACATGCAGAAGTGCCGCAAAAGAGAACTGCACAGTAAATGAGAGTTCGTGCTGGTTCGCGACCGTTTATATGCAGTAAACCACCATGGAAACCACCATGCAGCAAGCACAGAGGGGTCAGCAGTGCACAAGGCAAGGGGTGGCATCTCCTCGCAAACCAGGGGTCCGACAAGGTCGTAGCCTCGGGCGTGCGGAAACCCAAGCCAGCGCAAGTCCTTCTGGACTGTCAGAAGGCGTGGAACACAACGATTGGTGGCTGGGTGGTTGGTGGGGAATGCAGCAAGGCAACTAACGTCACGTGCGATGCCAATGGCATGATAACATCCGTGTGAGTTAATTGTGTGGATCATGTTTGGCGATAGAGCGATCCATCTCAGCCTCACGTTGAAAGGCAAGAATGAGAATCATGCATTTGTCGTACGAGGTAATTCAACCACATATGATTCATCTGTCCCACGTAAATACGGTCTTGCAATCGCATCTAACATGGCCTGCTTTAAGGGTTTGAGAACGAACATATGGTTTGAATTACATGCGATTTTTTATCACAAGAACAAGCCTGACTCAGGATGGTTTTCATATTTCCGCATTTACTAGGCCCGCTCTGCGCCTTCAGGTGAGCGGGATCCCTCCCTCACCTCGCTGCATATCACATATTGTGACTGACAGTAACCTACGTTAGGGCCACTACTCTCCTTCTGATGCATGCATGCCCTCTGTTTTTATCAGGGCCCTCCAGTACAACAGCTTCAATGGTTCCATTCCTGACTCGATAGGCAACCTTGCCAATCTTCGTAATTTGTGAGTGCATTTCCCTTATGCTTAGTCTCAGCTCAAGTTGTTTTGTTGGGGGTGATGCCGCACGCCCTGGACCAACAGGTTGCCTTGAACTAATATTCGAGCTCCGGTTCGCCACATGAGCAACGAACTGTGGCCTAGTTTATCGCCACGAACTAGTTCCCGGGCGTCAAACCCCGCGCCTGTGCAAGTATTTAATATGGACAAGGATTAGCAGCGAATCGGGCCGAATGCAAACCTACTACATCCAAACCCTCCTTCCTTCAATCAAAGGCACCTTACATATTAATTCCGTGGTTTTCTTTGAGCATCACGCACGGTAGCCGGAGCTGGTTGGTTGGTAGCGCTTTTCCAGCTGGTTTCCATAGAACTGGCATGGGGAATGGGTTAAACTCGAACAGGTGTGTCAAGAACTGCGGGCCCAACAAAGAGCCAGCCACTTCTGATTCATTTAGTCGACCTGGCTTTTACGGTAGAGAGAGCCAGACGGTACAGTATGTTTGATTGCTGGTTCGGCTTCCACCCGGGCTGGTTCAAGTTCGATCCGGCCGGTTCAATGGCCACCACGTTCGACAGAGGCTGGGTTTGGGTTAGCATGTGAAATCCTATCCTCCGATTTTCCCAGAGCTGTGTCCTCTTGGATTGTGTTTTCCAGAGATGCATTCTCTCCTATTATGTTCTTCAGCTGTCTCCTGATCATTCTCTCCTGCTGCATACGTTACCGCACCCCCTCCCACGTGACCAATCTTGATGAGCTGAGCTTAGTGTCAGCATGATGGACAGTTGAGTTGACATTTTTTTCATGCTTATGCTGTTGCGTCGATGGGTAGTAGTGCTGCATTAGTGCTGCGTTGGTGGGTAGCAGTGCTGCGCTGGTGGTGGGGAGTAGTGCTACGTTGGTGGGTAGTAGTAGTGCTGCGTTGGTGGGTAGTAGTGCTGCGTTGGTGGGTAGTAGTAGTGCTGTGTTGGTGGGTAGTAGTGCTGCGATGTGGCTCTTCCTGTAGATTGCCAAATGTCATGACTCAGATTGAACAAGGCGGCAACCAAAAACTATATGAAAGCGACATGAAGGCAGGCTAGACTTATCCACAACAGACATGTACCTCTCGGGTCATCACAGGCGTTTGCAGCATGTTATCTTGAACAGTCACATGCACAGGACCGCTGCACGCGGTACACTGTACCCAGCTCGTTTTTTTTTTTTTTTTTTTTTTTTTTTTTTTTTTTTTATGGGGGGGGTGGGGGAGGGCTTTCCTCATCTTATGTGACGAAGCGAGCCCACAGCCTGACATAGCTAGTCCCAAGCGGGGCAGCTTATTACTAGCTGAGTGGGGTGGGATGGGATCGCCCCTTCACATGCCTGTGCAGTTTGCCACGGTTGGGCCTGGTTAAATTCAGCTTGTTGACGGGCTCTGTGCCAAATCTACCCAGCCCATCACGACTTGGAACGAGCTGAGCATTGTGGCTTGGCTCTTCCCCCTCGATGAGGCAAGCCAACGGCCCGAGCTGCCGGCTTGTCCACCTGCTCTCTTAATTCGGATTCTCGACACATGCATGCTGCATGCATGCCACTCACTCGTTGCTGTCTTATCAGGTCTCTGCCGTCCAACAACCTGAATGGTGCCATTCCTGAGTCCATTGGCAAGCTTTCAAATCTTCGCGTCTTGTAAGTTCCATCAGTTGTTGGGCTTGGACTAATTTCTTCCACGGGCTGTGTGTGTGCTCTAGAGATGTGCTTTCCAGCTGTCTCTTCTTCATTCGTTTCTGCTGTTGTTATCGCATGCTACCATAAGGCGGGCCTGCCTGCCTGCACCTCCTCCTGTGTACAGGGATGTGGACAAATGGACATACACAAAGGGACATTCCACAAAGGGACATTCCACAAATGGACATTCCACAAATGGACATTCCACAAATGGACATTCCACAAATTGACATTCCACAAAGGGACATTCCACAAATGGACATTCCACAAATGGACATTCCACAAAGGGACATTCCACAAAGAGACACTCCACAAATTTTTTCACCACTTCTCTGTTATGCACTTCGCTGTACATCTATGTTCTTCGGTAAAACCGTATACCAAGTAATAAGTCATCCCGATACCAAGTATTCAGAAATCTCTCCAGATACAAACTATTTCCAACGCTAGCCAGAGGCTATACCCAATCTAAGACCCGAGGGGTCGGATTCAGGTTGACTTGGTCGGGCCGAGGACCCGACCTGGCCAAACTGACCTGACCCTAAATGCCCATGTCATGTCTAGGTGGGCCAGGCTCTTCCCCCCCTTGACCCAGGCCAGCTTGCTGGGAAGCCGGCTTGGCTTGCGGCCCGACATACAAGGCCAGACAGATTCCAGCCCATCTCGGGGCAGACCTGAAAATTGCCGAAAAACCCGGGCCCAAAAGTTACCATGGGCCATGGCGCGGGCCTGATGCGGTAGATAACTAGGAGAAGCTGTCCCAGACCGTGGTCTGACCATGTTGGTGTCATGCCTATGCGTGACCTCGGAAAGTGGTGGTGGGGCTCGGCCGTTCAATGAGGCGAGCTGTTAGCTTGGCCACCAGTTCATGCCTTGTCCAAAATTCTCCCCACATGTTCTTTTATCAGAGATTTGACGTACAACAGCTTGAGTGGCTCAATTCCTGAGTCCTTTGGGAAGCTTGCAAATCTTCGTGATGTGTGAGTGCAATGTCTTTGTGGGTTGGCATGTCAGCCCGACCAAGCAAGCTCATTTTGCATGAATAAGCTCTACCTTGAAATGAAAGCAAGATATAAACACCCGTCGTTGCTAGGCTTGAAAAGAAGAAAGAAAGTGTCGCGTCATGGGTACAGTGCCATCGGCTCTGCTGTGGTTCACAGAATGGCAAACAGCATAATTTACGCCACGTTTTGGAGGCAGCACGCCACACCTCAGCTTACTGTATCAGTGCTAACCAGCTAACCCTACACCAGACACAACAGTTGCTTCATTCCTTCTTCACCTAGCGTGCACCATACAGTACGTGGTTCCAGTACAGTGCAGCAATGGATACCCACAATATTTCCTTGTCACTCTCTTGTACTCTACGCAGGTTTCTTTGGGGTAACCAGCTGATTGGCCCGTTACCAGCAACATTAGGCAACCTTCGGGTTTTGACATACTTGTGAGGCTCGTAATTGCCATCGCATGTCATCAACTTAACAATGCTTTTGATCGCATCATCCATCGTTCTCATTTCAAAGCGACACCCTCCCCTGCATTCATGAATACCTAAACCGTCATTAGTTCACTGCAGATGGATTTGACTTATTTGTGTTCACTCTGAGAGTGCGATGAAAACTAACGCAACCCCGTTCTCATAAGACTCGGTTCAACTGGAACCAAAGTACGGTCTTATTTGTGGCTGTCGGTTCGACTTGAATCAGTTCGTCTTGGATCAGTTCGACTAGAACCGCTTCAACCTATTCGACTAAGAAACGTACCAAAATGTGCGGGATGTCTGAACTCTAAGCCTTGATTTTATCTCTTCTTTGAGGAAATGTTTTTTTTTTTTTTTTTTTTTTTTTTTTGGGTGGTGGTGGTGGGGTGGGGTGTTTGGAATCACGACTTTACGTACATGTAATGAAAGTCCTGGTTGCACCTAACCCGATCCGGTTCGCACCAAATCGCTTCTGGTTTGGTTCGAGCCTTGTATTCCGACCCGAGCCTCGAAAAAAGGCATCAATTCACTCACCACTTGCACTCGAGCCAGGCATGAGCAGGTTTTGGCCGCGTCAGGTTGTTCCTCTGGTGAGCTCGACCCAACCAGGACGGCCTGACTAGTCTAGTCGGGTCAGTCAATGTTTTTTTGTCCTGACCCAAACCGGCCTAAGCAAAACCTGGTCAGGTCAGGCCGGGTCGGTCGACTTGTTGCTTAGTCTGAATTGAACCACTTCAAGTTTTAGTGGCAAAAGGCACTTTGGTTTGATCCACACTTCCACTATTTCCCCACTGCTCTCCTCTGATTGACATTCTTCCTGGTTTGTCTTCATGGGTTCTTATCAGAGCAGCCTTAACAATCCACCCTTTAGCCACCTTCCCCACTGCTTCCAAATTTCATTCTGCCATTACATCCCATCTTCCTCTCACATCCCACTCTCCTCTCACATCCCACTCTACTCTCATATCCCATTCTCCTTCCACCAGTGACCTTAGTTACAACAAAATAAATGGCTCAATTCCTGCCTCCCTTGGGAAACTCACCCAACTGGTTCGCTTGTGAGTGCCGTTGGTCAGTGGTCACGGAGTCCACATGCATGCGCGCCACTGTCAAACTTTGAACTGTTGACAATTCCAGATTGCATTCTAGATGGGAGCGTTGCGCATTCGAAGCGATGCAGGTCATGCCATGTGATATGTGTTCACATGCCCGCCTTCGGCCGTTCCTCTTTTACACTCCCATTGTGCGCAATGCAGCTGGCTTGTCAATAACAATCTGACCGGTTCACTACCAGCAACTTTGAGCAGTCTTCAAGCTGTTGATTCCTTGTGAGATTCCTAAGCCAAAGAGTTTGCAGAAATCTCCATCATAGCGCAACTCACAGCCAAGCCCATCCGTCATTTCCCTCCTTCAACTGCGTAGCGCCCACAGCGGTTTCACCAGGTTTTGGTTTAGTCCAGTGGATCCTATGAATCACCATGATGGATGTGAGTGAGCAGTCAAAGTCTATGTTGGGGTTGTAATAGGAGAATTTTTTTCACAATACAGAAGCTAGGGAAATGTACACAATGGGATAACGCTTTTTTTGCACCTGCCCTTACGGATTTCTTGCTTCACAAGGGCTCCAAGGCAGATTAATTGATGAGAGCAGCATGCGATTGAGAATTTATCCACCATCAGTCAGACCAGCTATTGTGTAACCTCTCTTGTCACTTACCTGTGCTGTGCAATACTTTCTTTTTCCCGGCACCACGTGCCCTACATTCATCTCCTCTCAGTAACCTTGGCGAAAATGGCTTGACGGGCCGTATTCCTGAATTCATCAGCACATTTACAGCTCTAACTGGCTTGTAAGTGATTTTTGGTTGACTTGATCACCACACTTACACCTGTTTCTGGCTTGCAAAGTGCTTTTTGGTTTGACATCATTTCCCAAGCCAAGTTGACTCTCTGGTTAGGCTCGTTGAGCTAAGCTGCCTCTCTGGCTAGGCTCGTTGAGCCAAGCTACCTCTCTGGTTAGGCTCGTCAAGCGAAGTTACCTCTCTGGCTAGGCTCGTTGAGCCAAGCTACCTCTCTGGTTAGGCTCGTTAAGCGAAGCTACCTCTCTGGCTAGGCTCGTTGAGCCAAGCTACCTCTCTGGTTAGGCTCGTTAAGCGAAGCTACCTCTCTGGCTAGGCTCGTTAAGCCAAGCTGTGGGGGAAATAAAGTTTGAAGAGAATGTAATGATTAGATTAGGAATAGCTAAGGTTTACATAGTTAAAGAGGAGAAGGGGGGATGTGGCCAACATTATTGGAGGCCCCCAATAAGATGGGTGGGAGATTATTGGTGGGCTTCCAATAATGTTGACCACTTTGAGTTGGGTCAACATTATTGGAGGGGGGGACCAATAATGTTCCCAACCCAACCTTTGGGGTCCAATAATTTGGGCCAAAGGTTGGGTCTCAACCCCAAAATTGGGTTAACCCTAGATATACACCCAACCTAAAGTTGGGTCTTAATCTCTACCCGATCTTGATAGGATGAATGCAGGTTACAACAGAAGTATATTTCTAACACAATCCCTTAACCTGCAGAAATATGAAGATCGGTAGAGACAGAGGGTCACAACCCCTAAATCAAGGAGCGCCGAGGGGAGCAAGGCCGATGAGGCGAAGGAGAGCAGAGTGCGCAGGGCGGAGAAGCGCCTTTGTGAAGATGTCGGCCAAGTTCGACACGGCGGGATTCTTGCGAACAGCAATGAGACCCTGTTGGACTAATTCACGGATGAAGAAGTAGCGAAGTTCAATATGCTTGGAGCGGCCATGGAAGACGGGGTCCTGGTGAGATGGATGGTGCTGGCATTGTCACACCAGAGGGTGGGGCAACGCTGAGGAGCGTCGAGCTCAGCAAGGAGAAAGCAGAGCCAAAGGCATTCCTGAGCGGCCATGGTGCCGACATAAAGCTCAGCTTCACATGAGGAGAGCACAATCGCAGAGGAGCGCGTGGAGCGCCAGCTCATCAGGCCACTGCCAAGTGTGAAACCATAACCCTGGCAGGAGCGTTGGTCCGGCTGCGAGTCCGCCCAGAAGGAATTGCTAAATTCAGTGAGGAGAGGAGGGGAGGAGCCGCCGAGTGTGAGAGCGTGGTCCTTGGTTCCGCGAAGGTAACAAAGAACCCGCTTGGCGGCCGTCCAGCGCTCCTCAGTGTGACGGCCGGCGCCCACAAACCGAGCAAGGACACTGATGGGATAGGCGAGGTCGGGGCGCGTGCGTATCATGGCGTACATCAGGGATCCGACAAGCTTGGCATAGGGACGAGAGGAGGAGGGAGAGGTGGGTGGTGCCAGCTGATGACCAAAGGGGAGGGGGGTGGAGACGGGTTTGGCTTGTGAAATCTCGAACTTCTCCAGCACCTGGCCAATGTAGTGAGACTGGGAGAGGGTGATGGTGCGGGCAGGTCGGTTACGGGTAACAGTCATGCCAAGGTAGTTCTGCAGAGTGCCGAGGTCCTTGCACTTGAGGCGTTCTTGTAGCGACCGCTTCACCTGCTCCATGTCGGCCTTGGAATCAGCAAGTAAGATCATGTCATCAACGTAAACCAGGATGAAGCAGCGACTGGGGGAGGAGCGAATGAAAAGGCTGGCATCGGAGTGGGAGGGAGAGAAACCGAGTGACCGTAAGGTGGCAGACAACTTCGCATGCCATTCCCGTGGAGCTTACTTCAGACCGTAGACCGGGCGGCGTAGTTGCTACACGGTATTGTCGGGGAAAGCAGCATGAAAGTCGAGGGGCCGCTGCAGGAAGATGCGTTCGTGCAATTCGCCTTGCAGGAACGCGTTGGAGACGTCCATGGAGTCGACCTCGATGTCGTCGCGCGCACCAATGTCAAGGACGGTGCGAAAGGTGGGCGGCGTAGTGGGGGCAAAGGTGAACCAGTAGTCCTCAGCCCAGGTCTGCCTGAATCCCTTGGCAACGTAGCGGGCCTTGTAGACTGGTTCTTCTCCTGGTAGCTGTTTTATGCGAAAGATCCACTTGCCCTCGACAAGGTTGGCATCGGCGGGGAGGGGAACATCGACAAGGTTTCTTGGAATGTCTCGCATTCCAAGAAAATGGCAGCTATCCACTTGTCGGCGTCAGGGCAGGTGATAGCTTCCTGGAAGGTGGAGGGGACGAAAATGGTGGGAGCGGAGACAGCGCTGAGGACAAGGGCGCCGAGGAAGTCAGGGTAGAGGGGTGCGAGAGAGGGAGTGTGCTGCCGGACCGTGAGAAACTCCTCGTGAGAATCTTCAAGGAGGTTGAGAGAGGTGGGGGGCGGGGTGCCAAGGATAGGATCGAGGGAGCGGGTATTCATGCGGGGGAGGAGAAAAGGTGAAGAGCGAGCAGTTGCCCTCCGCTGCTGCTGCTGTTGGTGCTGCTGCTGCTGCTGCTGCTGCTGCTGTTGCTGCTAATGTTGCGGCTGCTGCTCCTCCCAGTGCTGCTGCCCCTGCTGCTGCCCCTGCTGCTGCTCCTGCTGCTGCCCCTGCTGCTGCCCCTGCTGCTGCTCCTGCTGCTGTCGCTCCTGCTGCTCTTGCTGCTGCCCCTGCTGCTGCCCCTGCTATCAGCGAGGGAGGGGCGTGGGTTGATGGTTCCCCAACGAGGAGGGTTGCTGATGTTGCCTCGCTCAAACCACGCGTCGTCAACTGCCTTGAAGCAGGTTGCAGGGGGGTGGGTGGTAGGAGGAGGGGGAGGGAGTGGGGTAGGAGGAGGTGGGATGGCAGCCATAGGTGACGACCACGGGTGGACCCGTAGTGGTCAAAAGGGGAGCGCGGGCGGCGGCGCGCGGGAGGGAATGGCGCGGACGGCGGTGGTGTGGACCGCGGCGGCGTCGGCGCGGGTTGCGACGGGTGGGGGCCGGGAGAGGGGATGGCGCGGACGGCGGCGTCGGCGAGGGACACGGCAGGGGACGACGCGGACGGCCGCAGCGGCGCGGACTGCGGCTGTTGCACGAGCGGCGGCGTCGGGTGAGGACGCGGCGGGCAGGGACGGCGGCAGCGGCGCGGACGGCGGCGTCGGCACGGGACGCAGCGGGTCGGAGCCGCGGGAGGGGATGGCGCGGTCGGCGGCTGCGGCGCGGGCCGCGGCGGCGTCGTTGCATGACGCGGCGAGCAGAGGCCGCGGGGGGGGACGGCGCGGACGGGGGCTGCGGCGCGGTTCGCGGCGGCGACAGCGTGTGACGCAGCAGGCAGGGGCCGCGGGAGGGAATGGCGCGGACGGCGGCGTCGGCGCGGGACGCGGCGGGTAGGAGTCGCGGGAGGGGACGGCGCGGACGGCGGCTGCGGCGCGGACGGCGGCTTCGGCGTGGGCCGCGGCAGCGTTGGCGCGTGACGCGGCAGGTAGGGGCTGCGGGAGGGGATGGCACGGACAGGGGTGGCGGAGCGGGCCGCAGTGGCGTCGGCGCAGGACGCGGCGGTCAGAGGCCGCGAGAGGGGATGCGGCGAGCAGGGGGCGGCGCGGACGGCGCAGGACGTGGCGAGCGAAGGCCGCGGAGGGGAGAGCGCGTGCGGTTGCGGCAATTGGAGCCGCGGCGGCAACGGCGCGGGACGCGGCGGCGACGATGTTCGCGGCGGCGAAAAAAATTCTGAGGAGGGAGGCCGGGGGTTGTGACGGCGGGGTGGGCCCTTAAAGGGAAAGTGGAACTTAGGATCTTGGGTAGAGTTGAGCAGATGCCCCGCTTGGGTCGGGCCGAACCGACCCGACTTGTGGTTTTGCCCAGGTCGGGTCAAGGTTTCCGAAACCCTGCCCCTTACGGGCCGACCCGACCCGACCCAGGTATAACCCGACCTAGGGATGAGCAGAGGGCGAACTCGAACAGGTTCGGGTTCGTCATATGTCGAACAGCTCGAACAACCGAACCGAACACTGTTCGGTTCGGCGAACGATTTAGGGCAACACAGGTGTTCGATGTTCGCCAGTAGGGGCGAACAATTTGTACGTGAGGGCGAACTCGAACATGTTCGGCCCGAACATGTTCGAGTTCGTCTTTAAGCATATTCGCTATAGTCACACCTGTCAGAAAGGGGCGTTAGAGGGCCAGAATGATAGAAAGGGGTTTGCATGGTATATTTGTGTTCCTGCAACCCACCTAAGAGTACAAACGCCCTCCTGTTTTGTAACACAACCACTTGCATGTACTAAATTCCTACACTAGGCTGCAGCACTGCTACTACCAACAACAACCTCCTCCCCGCCACCTGTGTCGTCGGCGGCCGCCCCCACACCCTCCCCCCCCTCCTCCTCCTCCTCGTCCTCCTCCTCGTCGTCCTCCTCCGCCCCCTCGCCCTCAATGGCGAACTCTGGCGCTGCGACGCCTCTCTGTCGGCGGCCCTCGCCTATCCTCTGGCCGGGGTGTGAGCTGAACCAGGATCGGAGAACCATGACAGCTCGCGTTCTCTGGGAGGCCAGGCGGTGCCGCTTCCAGGAAATGAGGTTGCGGCCAAGGGAGAATACGCGCTCGCTCGAGGCGGACGTGGCAGGGATCGCGAGATAATCCCGGGCCATGCGCCTCAGTGTCTGCATGCTGGTGGCGCTCCGCCAGTACTCCAACGCCGTCACGTCACACCGAACCCTCTCCGACAGGTGCCTGCTAACCTCGTCATCCTGCAACATCCCGCCCCTCCCCGCCTCCTGGCTCGCTGAGAGACGCGCTGCTAGTCGTCGGCGACTAGGGAGAAACTGCGCGTCTTCGTCGTCATCCGCCTCGTCCCCCTCCTCCTCCTCCGTCACGGCTGCAAGAGGGGGCGGCCGGGGAGCAAGCTCTGCAGCCCGGGCTTGGTACTCGGCGACGCGGTCGCGTACCAGCTGGACCACCTCGCTAGAAGTGGGACGCGGCCTCACCCTCCGCTCGGTCTCGGGATGTTGCGTCTCCCAGTGCTCGTCATCGAACCACGCCGCCTTCATGGACGGATCCAAGAAGGTGGCGATCCACAGCTCGTTGGAGGACATGTACGCATACTTCTTCAGCATCCCCAGCGCCGCCTCGATCATCGGCTTCAGCGCAGCCGATGGCCCCCTCGCGAGGCGCGCCTCCATAGCGTCGATCAGGCCGTTGTAGTACGGCAGCACCATCGACACTGTTGGGTACGCCGCCCCCTCCGCTGCCTTTGAGACTTTGGCGAATGGGCTGAGGAAGGTCTTGACAGCATGCAGAGTCGCCCAGTCTGCGTCAGTCAGGCGCATGCTCTCGACCTTCTTCTTGTCGGTCGCCGACAAGCCCTGTCGGTTGGAGGGTTTGGACAGGCAAATGGTAAGAGTGAACATGGAGATAGTGAGGGTGGCTTGTCATCGCATAACATACAACAAACATGACTACCAGTGTTTAGGGTGCTAAGCCTCAGCACCCCAGCCTACCCGCACACGCAACCAGAGCATACACACAACACCTGTCACACGCACCTCTCACACACACCTGTGTCTGGGCAAAGAAGACATTGATGGGTTCCTGTAGAACCCCGGCTCGCTCGACCATGTCGTGGGTCGACCCCCAGCGCGTTGGAGAGTCCTGCACCAGCTTCAGCGCCGGCTTCGGATTGGTGGGGTTGGCCTGCGCGTTCAAGGTTCGTTGTAGGCCCAGGAACTTCCCTGAGCGCTGCGGCGAGAAGCCCACCCACGACGCCATCTCCCTCAAAATTTTCAGCACCTTGCGTATGGCGGCCACTGCGAGAGCAGCCTTCACTGCGAGGTTGATCACTTGTGCCAGGCACCTGCGCACGAAACCCATCATGAAAGACGGACAGAAGGGGAAGGGTGCGTAGGCATGGTCATGGCGGGCCACGTTGCGCCCCGTTTCCACACACACCATACAACTCACGACACGGCCAGCCCACCACGCTTTAAAACTACAAGCCCTGCACGAACGACTTGCACCACAATTCCCGCAAAGCCTGCCCAAACACACGCTCACACTTACCGGAAGTGCATGCGCTCGTTGAAGAAGCACATACCACCACCCTCCTCCGACAGCCGCCTGAAGGCAGCAATGTTTCTAGAGGTGTTGTCTGACGTCAAACCAAGACAACGCCCCTCCAACTTCCACTGCACCACTGTCTCCTCAACCACCCTCGCAATCTCCTTGCCCCCATGCCGCCCGAGCATATCACTGAACTCAAGGACCATGGTGCGCAGCTGGAAGGACTCGTCTATCCAGTGCCCGGTCACCACTAGCCATGCTTTGTTGTTGGGTGCGGTCCATATGTCGATGGTAAACGACACCTTGCACCCCAGCTCCCCCTCCTTCGCCAGCAGCTCTGCAATGGCGGACTGGAGAGCGGCGGCCGCATAGACCACGGTGTCTCAGGAGACCGTCCATCGCGAGGGGATGAAGTTCTTTTGCGAGCAGTTGCGATTTAGCAGGATCAGCAGCTCACGAAACTGGAGGGGGGTAGAGACACGAAAGGAGAGGGTTGTCAACGTCTAGGTGATGGGAGTGAGGCATGCAGGCACAGGATAACAACCGTGCACAAAAAATGGACCAACACTATCACATGCTTCCCATAACCTCCCCACATCAGGCATGGGACGAACAGGGCACTTACAGCCTCGGCCTCCACGATGCGGAAGGGGAGGTCGCAGGTGACCACTAGCTTGGTGATCGCCTGTCGAAGCTCCACCGAGGTCAGCTTCGTTGTCATGAACCGCTCGATCCCGCCCCCCTTCTTATCTCCACCAGCTGCCTTCCCTGTCTTGGTCGCGAGATGAGGCCAAGTCTTGGCATGCGGCCAGTCTTCGACGTAGCCATCCGGCACACCCTTGTAGCCCCCACGCGGAAACGTCTCGCCTGGCAACTGAATGGCACACACACACGAACCACACGAGCATGTGCGCAGTATGGTGGCTCGCGAAGTGCCGCTCGCCGGGTGTGGTCGTGGATTGCTTCCACGAGATCTTGTCAGTGCAAATCTTGCACTGACGCTTCTCATCAGCGTCTTTCGGTCCGAACATCTGTACTTGCCACCCCGGTGTCCTGCCCCCCGTGGCAGTCCCCTTGCTACTCTCTGACCCTCCTTCCTCGTCTAGGAACTCCGGGGCGATCACACCCTCGCCCAAAGGCTCCCCGGTGAACGTGCAGGGGTACGCCCGCTCCCTCAACTTGTTCGCCCTCTTCCCCCGCCTCGGCAGCCTAATGGGTTTAATGGTAGCGGCCTTTCTCCCCACTTTCACCCCCACGCTCCCACGCCCCTCACGCACATGGTGTGAGCCAACCTCTGTCGCCGCCTCTCCACCACCCTCGGCCACCTCCTCCTCCGGCCCCTCTGGCTCCAACCCATCCATCTCGTGGTCTTCATCGTCATCTCCCCTGTCCCCACCGCCATGCGTCTCTGGGTCCCACCCGGCCTCGCTATCATCCCCACTTCCCTCATTGTCCTCATCCTCCTCGCCCTCACCCTCCTCCTCATCCTCCTCCTCACTGCCACTCTCCGGCTGCGTTTGCCCTGCAGAAGGGGGTCGCGAACCGCTGAAACGGAAAGATTGCCGAGATGACGGCACCGTCATGTTAAGAAACCCCCCCACGAAGCAAGCGCCAGCGCCTCCAGGACCATCGCCTACGCGCCCCTCCATAGGTCGTGGTGGAGAACCGGGTGCGCCCCCGCGAGAGCTGCCAGCACCTCGTCCTATGGATCCACCATGTCCGGAGGCCATAACCCTAAACCCAGGGAACCCGCTGTAAAAACGCGCTGTTTGAGTTGATGCTACTAAACGTGTGAGTTACACTAGAACACACTACCCTACGGAATCCCAAACCTATGTATAATGTCCGTGCGTGTAGTAGATTAGTAAACCCGGTGTGTGGTACCTTCTACAAGAGCATGACTAGGGCGGTAGCGAGAGGTAGGCTTAAGCTGTAAAAAACGATTTGAGTTTGAGCTCTGCGAATGAGCCCAGGAACACGAACGTGTTCGTGTTCGAGTTGGGGGGCCCCGGGATATATTGGCGAACGTCGAACATGTTCGGCCGAACACCGAACATGTTCGACCCGAACAATTTGGTAAAAAAAAACCGACCCGAGAGCCCATTTCGGGCCGGGTCGAGCCGGGTTTCGGGTCGGGCCTGACCCGACCCGATTTCGGGTCCTAGATGTTGAAATCAGGTCGAGCCAGGTGCGCGACCCGATTTCGACAAGGCCGGGGCCGAAACCCTAGCACAAAAGTAAATCGAGGGGATTTTTTCCCCGTCGATTTCATTTCGCCAGCCAGCAGCTAGTGAGTAATATTTAGCATGCCTTAAACCACCTCATAACTTAGGATTCCCCTCACGAATGCTAATACTTAAAGTTTCTTGACGAGATGTACGATTCTTGCTGCAAAAAGTCCATTTCGCGCTTGTCAATAGAGTAGTTTTTCAGCCACCTTGGATCAAGCGCAACCTCTTGTATTATAAAAATATGTCAAAATCAAATGTAACAGAGAAATTGCACAATTATGATGAACACCCCCAGCCCCCCCTAGAGGGGCGGGTCTACCTGGCCCGACCCGGCCCGACCCAAGCCCGGGTCTCCTCTGACCCGAGTGAGTAGGCCCGGGTCGGGCCGGCTGTTTCAAGAACCTGGCCCGAGCCCGGCCCGACCCGACCCGACCCGACCCGAGAGCCCGTGTGGCCCGGCCAAGTCGGATCGGGTCGGGTCGGGTCGGGTCGGGTCGGGTCGGGCCGGATGCTCAACTCTAATCTTGGGGGAGCTCTATACCATGTGGGAAATGAAGTTTGAAGAGAATGCAATGATTAGATTAGGAATAGCTAGGGTTTACATTGTTGGAGAGGAGAAGGGGGGATGTGGCCAACATTATTGGAGGCCCCCAATAAGATGGGTGGGAGATTATTGGTGGGCCTCCAATAATGTTGACCACTTTGAGTTGGGTCAACATTATTGGAGGGGGGGACCAATAATGTTCCCAACCCAACCTTTCGGGTCCAATAATTTGGGCCAAAGGTTGGGTCTCAACCCCAACATTGGGTTAACCCTAGATATACACCCAACCTAAAGTTGGATGCTTATCCCTACCCGATCTTGATAGGATGAATGCAGGTTACAACAGAAATATATTTCTAACAAGCTGCCTCTCTGGTTAGGCTCGTTGAACCAAGCTGCCTCTTTGGCTTTGCTCGTTAAGCCAAGCCGCCTCTCTGGCTATGCTGGTTCTGAGTCAAGCTGGCTTGGCAATGTGTGGCATGCGTGGATGATATGGTGTGCGCCTCTGTTCTCAGCACTCCCCTTAGATTTTCGGCACTTGAAAACGACTCCATCCTTGCACCCCCTCTCTGCTTGCTACTGGTCAGTCTTATTAGGATTTGCCAAAGTTTCACTGACCTCATTGTTCCTTCCTTGAATTTGTTCACCCTCCCATCTTGTGATTCACAGATTTCTCCATGGGAACGAGCTGAGTGGTCCAATAATACCAGGGCTAAGCAACCTTGTTGCGTGTAAAGACGTGTGAGTGATCTGGCTGGTCAACTCTTACCTTACGCTCACATTCCAATCGGTTGCTCCTCCACTTTCTCATGAGGCCATATATCTCCGCTTGAGTTGAGCAATACTTCGGTCTGCATTCCCTGAATGCTTCAACATCTGCATGCGTTCTTAATTCTGTTATTCTGAATGTAATCAATCGGACAATTGTTTCCCATATACGTTGATGCATCACTTTCAGTTGGCCCTTAAATGCACCTGTTCCTGCTTGGACCCATACCAAGAGACATCATGCGTTCAGATCAGAGCCCTCACCTGGAACTTACAAACCCATAATTTATGCGATATGTTGTGTAGATGATACAGATCCTGCACCAATTGGAATGCCAACGCTGTGATTCAGACGTGTTTTCCTGGCCTGTCCCATTGTTGTCTGATTGACATGTGCACCATGTCATCCATCCAACACATGCACTACTCTCACGGTTACTCTCACCACGTTCACTACTCTCTACACATGCACCACTCTCACCACATGCACTACTCTCACCACATGCACTACTCTCACCACATGCACTACTCTCACCACATGCACTACTCTCACCACATGCACTACTCTCACCACATGCACTACTCTCACCACATGCACTACTCTCACCACATGCACTACTCTCACCACATGCACTACTCTCACCACATGCACTACTCTCACCACATGCACTACTCTCACCACATGCACTACTCTCACCATATGCACCACTCTCACCACATGCACTACTCTCACCACATGCACTACTCTCACCACATGCACTACTCTCACCACATGCACTACTCTCACCACATGCACTACTCTCACCACATGCACTACTCTCACCACATGCACTACTCTGACCCCATGCACTGTTTTCGCTGCACGCACTTCCCACACCGCATGTATGCCCTCCATCCTTTGCTGTTTCCTCAGATTCCTTCACTGCAACAACTTAACGGGCTCAATTCCTGACTCCTTCAGCAAGCTCTCAAACCTTGAGAGATTGTGAGTGCTTTTCCCCGTTGTGAATGTCACTCATTCTTGGGTTGAGATGTGAGCCAAAGTGCTCTGTACACCCTGCAGCATTCTCTTGCACTCCTCGTGGTTGTGGTATGAATTCTGGCATTTGTATTGCAGCGTGCGTTTGAGGAATGTTATTGTTAAGACCCCATAATGGGTGAACAAAAAAAAATCGTAATGGTCTGTGATCGAGGAGGGTTGTGAATGGCGCTCCTTATCCGCTAGTCAGCATCAAAATGTTTGTGAGGCACTTCAGTTCTTATCGGACCATTGTGCATTGCATGCTGCCATTACCAGACAGTAGGCTTGAGGAAAGAGCCAGACTGTAACGCAACCCTTTGGGCTGAGTCGTTGTGGTGAGTAGAGCGGACGTACAACTGAATAAAGCTTCTCTTCGAGAGCAGCAACCTTTGTTCTAATCTTTTGAAATCTGTTGTTCTGCACTCCCATGATATGACATGCAGATATCTTCAACGGAACAGACTGTCTGGCACCATACCAACAACAATCGCCAACTTTTCGTTTCTGTCCATCTTGTGAGCAACTTGATTAATGCAACAGCTAATAGATTGTGCTGTGTTTTCCATACCTACATATTACACTAAGTTCTTACGGACTTACCTATCTCCACTACCTTCAGCTGTCCTTTTGTGTTTGGTTTGATTCCCCTTTTTTTAACTCAATAACACACGGACGTCACCTGTTTGATTTGAACCTACTCGCTTGTCAAACCATCCTGCCTATCCTTCCTGTGCTTCTTCAGGAGTCTATCAAGCAATTCCCTGACCGGGTCCATTCCATCCACCATTGGGAGTATGAGCACCCTCACGTTCTTGTGAGAGCAATTAGAATTAACCTGGGAGGACACGGAACATGATCCGCCCTAAACATTCTAGGAGAGAGTAGGGAATTACATACATGGTACTTCCCCAGTTGGTTGGCAGTACTAAGTAGCTGTCGTTCAGTACATGCTTCCAAGGTGGGGATGATGGCAAGGCGATGGTTTGGACGCTTTTGGCAAAACCAATGTTCGAGTTGAGTAGACTGTAATCTCGAGTTGAGTAGACCGTCACGCACTACTGAGTTGAGTAGACCTCAATGTTCCACTTCAAGTCTAGAAGTCCTCGATTTTTTCCAGCTCAATTATGTTTATTCGACTTCTCTTAATCGTGTTCGAAAAGAAAACAATGAACTCGGTGCTCCTTAATCTCAAGAAAAAGTAAGACGACCTAAGGAGGACATGCTCGACGTGTCTGCTCATGTGTATTGGCAGCCACTTAATCCAGATGTGCTGACTTGAGAGCTAATCTCGACTTAAAGATGAGTATAAATGCAGTCAACCTGAGGTTTATTATTATGATGATTATTAGGATTTGTTTAGATAAAGATTATTTTTTTGACTCAAAACTTTCTAGAATTGGCAAAAAGGGGTTAATTTCAGCAAACGTATGCTATCTCATCACCATACGGTCGTCCCTTCCCTTGCAAACCTTTCTCTTGTCAGATCCCTCGCCAACAACAGCCTGACAAGACCAATTCCTGACTCCACTTCCAGGCTTGTCAACCTGGCTGATTTGTGAGGATATAAACCATTGTAATTTTAAAGAGTTCTATTGTTTATATAAACATCATAAATGCCTCCACTAAAATCTCCCTCACAAGTTGATAACTACATTCTAGATATATAAAATGCAAGTAGCCTTGCAGTTACCCAAGCTACCTTAATATTGCCATTTTTTCCCAACTTTTAGCAAGAATTTCATCTTTAGACCAAAAAACAAACATAGGGGGAACACCATGTTGATTCTTAATTAGGGTAGAAGCTTTACGCACACCATTAATTGACTCTAGGTAGTCCCCCAGGGTCACCTCCAAAACACCTCGGGATGCCTGGTAAAACTAGTACATATACAATGGTCCGTGTTTATAGAGGGATTTTCTTAGTGTGAAGACAATCGTGTGGTCTAGAGTAATCCCAAACTCAATTTGCCGCAGTGTTGAACGACTGATTGGCTCGTGTGCAGAAATTCATCTTCACGTCAAAATGCTGATAAAAGAAAGTATTCACTTGGAAACGGATTGTTCCGAAAATGTTTGATTACAACTGAATGCGAGCACACACATATATATTTGTCGAAGCACACGCAAAGATAAATAGCAAACCAGTTGTTAAACTGCATTATTGGACTTCGCCTTGTTGGCCTTGATAACGGTTGTCAAACTCCTTGTGAATTTGGCTTGATTCGCCTTTGTAGAAGAACTGTCTTTATAAACTCATGAATTCGTATGATCATTAATGAACACTCATGTGGGATTTTTGTTTCCACGAAGCATTACAGTTTATGAAACGGTTCTCACTGTTTTGTTCCTGTAATGAAATTGTTGCGTTACGTGCACGACTTTTCGGGCGATGTTTTGACACGCTCAAGATCAACTGAAATCTCGATTCAATCCCGAGCACCGCTCGGGTTTCCTCGGCATCCCCGAAACTCATGCGCACCCCTGTTGACAACGCGATGATTGCATGTGGATGTGGGCTGTCCTGTTGCGATTGTGCACACTGTGCACACACGAGCCCTTAAGACTCGGGCGCATAATCAGGACCACACGCACAACTGAGACTTTCGCGCGCTTGACTTTAACCAACGCGAAAATATCAAGAGCCCCTTTGTGAACACTCCCGACACTTCATGAGCACACATGGAAACGGAAAGGCACAAATTAACATGAACACTCACAAACATTCATTTATCACTGGTGAAACTCACAGAAATTCACAAAAAAATCCAAAAATCAACGCACATTCTCAACATCACGCAAAACAACGCAAACGTATACGAAGTCTTGCATATACACTCAGACATTCACGGACATTCAAGAACACAACCTTTCACGAAAATGCACATAACTCATAACCTACGAATGCACTACTGTAAACCACACAAATGCATATCTCACAACCCACAAATTACCTTCGAACGAAAAAAAAAAACTACATTTTTTGTTCACCTTCAGCGAATAGGCGGTAGGCTGACGTGCAAACCATGTATTGCACTCAACATACCACACAAAGCACCAATGACCTTTAACTCATGTGGAAGTAGGGATGAGCAAGGGGCGAACACGAACGTGTTCGCGTTCGCCCATGCACGAACACCCCTTTTCGGCGAACCAAACACTGTTCGGTTCGGCGAACACCTTGAGCAAAAACCGGTGTTTGCCGTTTGCATATGAAGGCGTGTTCGAGCGAACCTCGAACACGTTCGTGTTCGTCGCGGGGCAAATTTCAGCAGCGGCCCGAACACGGACGTGTTTGGGCGAACCTCGAACACTGTTCGGCGAACACTTTAAGCCAAAAAAATTAGCCTGTTCGGTTCGCCTCGAACATGTTCGAGGCGAACTGAACAGGTGTTCGTTTTTTTGCTCATTCCTATGTGGAAGCACCCCTTTCCTTTGATGTAAGCTATACGCAGGTGTTGCCTTTGCTGCTGTTTTTTTTGTCACAGTAAAAGATGGCCGTACAAGGAACGAGCACAAATTAAACAATGTATTCTCAAGCTTTTTTTATACACTTGGTACATTGCACCCAATGGAAATCTGCATGCTGCCTGTATCTACTTTGATGTCGCTATTGTTCCACACACAAGGTGGGCTTTGGCATTGTTTCTTTCGCCCTCCTGTTTCCAAGTGCAGGCGCTTAGGCATAAACAAGCTATCGGGATCAATACCAGCGGCAATTAGTAGGCTTACAGCTTTGACTGAACTGTGAGCCTTTTTTTTTTCGAAGTATTGTGAATATCAATGTAAAGTTGATACTCCACACTACGCATGTGCAACTAAACGAGCTAAAACTCGGCTTGTCCTGGTTAGGACTCGGCCAAGAAATGCTCCGAGCCGAGCAAAACTCGGCTGAGTCATTTTTGGCCCGAGGTCGATCTTGTCACTCGTCTGAAATCGAGAAGTTTTCCTGAAAATTGCCCGAGTGCTTTTGCAAACTCAGACGAGTGCGAGTTGACTTGTCCGGCGGGGGTAGGGTGGGATACAAGAAACGATCTTGGAACAAAAATCTCTCGGTAGAAACACGAAAGTGTCAGGAGCCTACGTGAGGAGAGGGAGTACAATTCATCATAGCTTACTATTTCTCAAATTCACCTAACAATGTTGTCCCAACCTATTCCCCTCACCTTGCCAATCTTCACCACACAGAATCTAGAAAATCCAATTGCTTTCAAAAAGATTGGAGGTCACTTTCAAACCTAGATCTAGTTGATCTCCTACATCTCCTATACCTAAACGATTTCGCATGCATCAAATATCCTATATCAGTTCGATGTGCCCATTCACAGTGTCAACCACAACATCTTTCCTACGAGATACAACACAACACACATACGACAAACACACGACTCTGAAAAAAACTCGCTCAGGATGCACAGTTTCCAACGAGTTGAAAAAAATATTCGTCAACCATCAATCCTTCCATGCAGCCCTGACTCCCCTTTCAACCATCAACTCACACTTGTCTTGCCATCAACCCTTAAATGCTTCTCTCGTCATCAATCCCTCCATTTTTCTCTCATAGATCCCTCGCCAACAACAGCCTCAGTGGCACAATCCCTGAATTTATTGGCAATATGACAAGTCTTGCTGCCTTGTGAGCTCGTATTTGACTTTTACTTACTCCAATTTCTCCTGGTAATATGCTAAGCTCGCACACCTTTTCAAGTTTGTTGATTCACTTTCAGCAAAGTTGCCATCAGTGCTTACATTCAAACAATACAGTTGCATTGCATTCATGGTTTGCACCTCTACACGCTCTCTTATCATGACCGAAGTCATGTCGTGTCATGTCATGCCATGTCATGTCATGTCATGTCATGTCATGTCATGTCATG